TTCCCTACTGCAGCAGTAGTGGGGGGTGATGAATTTAAGATGATCCTCCAAAAATTAGATTCTAAGCCTGAAAATTTATAACAAATTTACATATTTTCCATATCTAGAATCTAATTGTTATGGGGGGAGGTCATCTTAAATTTGAGGAAATACAGTAATGCATATTTTTATGTAGGTTTCCTCTGTTAGTATCAGTGATTTAATGTTTTTTCCAAAAAAGGTAAGGACTTGAGATGATAATCTTTTGAGGTAATTGTTAACATTCTGTTTCCAGTAGCTGTTATGCTTGGATAGAAAAATCTCTTTAGGTTAGGAAAAGGAGCCAGGGAGTAAAAAACACTTTACATTCCTAACACTGTGACTAAGACTTCAAAATTTGTTGAATATGAAAAATTGCTGTTGTAGTTGAGAGTTGCATGGTTATCCCACTGAATAAAATTTTTGAATTACCAAAAAATGTTTTTTCTTCTTTTCCAAACATTTTTATTTGTAAAGGCTTTTTTCTTTAATACAGGCAGTTGCTGTTTTGCCGCGTAACATTGGGCAAATCTTTCCTGCAGTTCAGTGCAATGAAAATGGCTCATTCTCCTCCAGGACATCATTCAGTTACTGGTCGACCAAGTGTAAATGGACTAGCTTTAGCAGAGTATGTCATTTACAGAGGAGAACAGGTAGTGGGTTTTTTGGTTTATTTAAAAAAAAAAAATATTTTAATAACCACCCATTATTTTCCCTCGGTAGCATATAGGACACTATTTTAGGATGTCAGGGCTTGCTTTTCAGTTTATATAGACAGAGCCCAACGTTTTAAACCTGAGAACCAGAGGTCGTTGTTTACATAGAACTTCTGACATGATTGCCAATTCTCATCTGACATAAGTATTTCATTTTAAATCAGATTGAAAATAATCCTGTAAGAAGTGTTATGAATTTGCTGAGAGTATTGGTCTTACTGAATCATTTGCCTAACTAATTTCTCTTTTCAGGCTTATCCAGAATATTTGATTACTTACCAGATTATGAAACCAGAAGTCACTTTAGAAGCTTGAGACAGATTGCTTTTGGAAATCATCAGACCTGAGGATGAAAATACCAACAACCTACACCTTCTAAATGATACTGAATTGTTGAAAATCTTTTCCCCACAAGTGATGCGGTGAAAATGTGAACAAAATATAGCATTTTGACTTCATAAAGCTTTAATAATGTACAGTACGTTTTCTAAAATTTCAAAAACTTCCTCTTTTTCAGCACTTTAACAGATGCCATTCCAGGTAATCTGGGTTTGTCTGTACTAAATTATACACAAAAGATAACTTGAACTATCATTTTATACAATACTACATTGATATCAAACAGAAATTGTTATGCTCTATACACAAACCTGTTTTACTAATACTGTGTTCTTTAAAACACTACATTTACACTGAATACAATTCATTTGTAAAACTGTAAATAAGAGCTTTTGTACTAGCCTGGTATTTATTTACATTGCTTTGTAATATAAGTGTTTTAGAACTGCAGTCTTGTACAAAGTGTTTTCCCAAACATTGCATTGCTTGTTTCCTCATGCATAGTAGATTGGCAAAGCCTGTTTGATCCCAGGGTTTGTCATTTGGGGGAGAGAAGAATATGTTTGATTTTAATTAAAAAGTCAAGAATGATCCAATATTGAAACAATTACTCAGATGCTCATTCTTTAACTTTATTTATGGAATATGCATTCCTGAGAGATGATGATCTATGAAACTAAGACACTCCAGTGGGGCTACCAAGATGATTTCCCACCTACTTGCCAGAGTTTCACACTTCATTAAATTGTCTCCTGGAGTTTGTATTTTAAGTATAGGTGTAGTTAATGAGTGGCCATGGTTCAAGGCTAGTAGATCCTGCTAGTGATAACTAGTAAATTATTTTCTCTGAATGTAGCTAGAAAGCTAACTTCAAGGAGATATTTCTAAACAAGTTCCTTATTT